GCCTATGCCTTTGAATCTGTTATATCAATGGTTGAAGTAATAATTTTCGACGTAATTGAAAAACATTAAATATATTTGTTGTACCTATTTAATAAATAATGATGGTAAATTAACCAGATATAATATTAAGTAGTATAAGCAAACTCAATCTATGATTCAGGGTTTTATACTTTGATTATTGAACTCGATAATTGACATAGTTGACATTTAATTTAAACAACGAATTTCATAATCAATAAATCTTTGTTATAGTTTATATATTATCAAACTTTAGTCAGAACTGATACTTGTATGTCATTGATCTAAAATATTTAAAAATTATTCTTTCAACTGATTTATATTAGATTCGGCTTTTATTTTAAATTCTGAGTAAATCGAGGAGTATATTTATTTTCAAACATTTTATTGTTCAATTTACTGATTATTTAATTATAATAAGTTTATTTAAGATTTAAGTACGAATCAATAACACTAGAAACATACATACTATTAAGAAACATCTGTGTGTTATTTATATTCTCTTTTGATATTCATTTCACTTTAACTTGAATAACAGTATATAAATATATATATACAAATAAATAAATACTGGTATTGGACGATTTATCTTACAAAAACACAACATACCTAAAATGTCACGTTCAAGTTAAGTACATATATTATCTATATATATATATATATATATATATACTAAAATACTATCGCAAGTAATATTTTCTTGATTTAGACACAATCATTTAGAAGAATGTCGTTATTTTATTTTTGACAAAGTTTAAATCAAATGTAAATGATCACAAACACGAACTCTTTTGTTGGTAATTTTTATTGTTACGAAAATGACATATTTGTTATTAAATACTAAAATTATGGTGGCCGACTACAATCATACATATGTGTTACAATACGTGAGAAAATCGTTTATATGTGCGTATAACATTATCTCCGGGACGATTGAAATTGTTATAAAATATTAGCAGTAATATGTATATTATGTTTTAAACTGCCGGGGTAGAAGCATAGTTCTTGGGTGGATTCAAGTTTTTGATCACTTGGAAACCATCCTTGTCGGCCGTGTACGAAACACTGACTTCGATTCCCTCAGGAGATATGTACGAATATGAACCTTTTTGGATCATCACGTAATCGTCTCCTTCGTCGTTCAATACCAACGTTCCTTCCACATTGTTCGATGTCCCGTCGTCCAGCTGGTAACTGAAACACACGCAAACGTGTCATAATCGTACTTGCATAATGTACACTGACGGACAAATCAAATGCGTATATGATACATTGCATTATATCAAAGTCCTCGTGTATAAATATAATATAAATATAAAATCCTAATATATAATTATCGTAACTTGCAAACATTATTTAAAAGTTGTATCAGTAACATGCAGCTAGTAGTTACAGTAACTGGTTATCAGGTATCATTTTCCCTACAGTTTTCCACAAAATATACGAATGACTAATAAAACGATTTATTAAATATTATAATACTTTTTCAGTTTTTATTGAAAATTGTCTCTCTAAAACAAAAATCGTAGTATTCCTTAATCTTACAGAATAATTTGATATAGAAATAAAACGTCGAAGTTTGTGCGAAGCGACATCAACGTTCTGATATCTGAAGATCTGGAATGTAGGACGTAACTGCCACACGTAAGTATCCGGCACTGCCGTTGGCACATCATACATCGTACAGTTAATGTTCTCGGAACACAGTCCGATCGACAAAACGGTACAACATTATATATTAAATAGAAGTCTTCGGCGGGAAACTTACTTAAGAGTGAACTGTCCGTCGGTTCCTCGGACGTATTCGTTTTTCAGCAAACGAGCCAGCGGCGCCTTCGGTTTTTCCACCTTGGTCGGGAACGCTCCGGCCATGGAACACGCGCACACCAACGCCGCGGCCAAGAATATCATTATCTGTCGAAGAAAAATACAGAAACCGTTCACGATCAATTGTATTGCGTTTCAGCTTTAACCGTAAAATAATCATAACGATAAAATATTTTCTTACCGGGAAATTGTACATTTTGTCTGTTTTCGCAATTGAAGAAACGAAACACGCGTATGGTAGGTAACTGCTGTATAAGCAATAATGTGTCCAGTGTCCAATAATGTACGAGATGGATCCAAATGATCTACTGAAGTATGAGGAGTGTTGCAACGTGTATTTATAATAACGTAAAAAAAACGAATCAAAAAAAAATAATAATAATAATAATAATAATAACTGATTAATGCGATCAGACCGATCGCAAAATTTAAAAATAATGTCGTCTGCGTTAAGTATACGCACTTAAAAACGCATTAATTTCTAATGCCGCATTCGGGCCGTCCTTGAAATCGTTCTTATATGAAACTTAAGAGTTAAAACTTAGACGAGTATATTTTCGTATCGTTTTAAATTATCACATCCCGAGGATTTGCAAAATGAAATTGGTGTTAACAGTTTGACAGTAGTTATAAAAATATAAAACTATTAAATACTACTGTGATTAGAATTACCATATTTGATCTTGTCGGGACGTTCTAAGAATTCTAGGATGGAGTGTTTAAAAATACTCAATTTTTTAATAACAATTATCGGACGGCTACTCGTATATCTTTGAGAAGACTTAGCTTTTTTCAACAGTTCTTTGTTCCCTTATATATGTAGAACTCTGCGCAAGTCATGTTATAATTAACTTGAAATTGTAAAATCGACTCCATAGTCTTTGGAAGTAAGTCATTTCGTTCATTAGTCTATTGGATTGACATTAACGAAAAAACTTCTACCCATACGTTTTTCTAGCACAGCCACTAACTAATATTTAAATCATCATCTGTGGAACGATTGTTTGGAAACGGAATTTAGTTGAGCTGTTCAGTCATCTTAATTTGTTATGTTTCGTTTTAATTTTAATTTTATCACTTTAAGTACACATGAATATCTTCGTCTGTATTTAAAATAAAAATTATTATAAATTTGGATACATTAACTAATTATTTGTAGAAACGGAACAAAATTTAAACACCATAAGTATTTATTTTTTTAAATATAAAGTGGTTGGATTATTTTCCTGAATAAATGGTAAAATGACTTTTTCAAATATTTTCTGTTAAAGAATTGATTTCTACAAAAAATAATAACTACTAATTTTATTGAAACATTTTCAATGTTAAATAAAACAGTTTTATGGAAAAAAATTTATATCATATTCATGTAGGTAATTTGTATAATTTTTAAAGTAAAATAATATATATAACCCTGTTGTATTTCAATGGTACTCGCGGTATCACCCTTCAAATGTTCATGATGATTTATATATTGATATGGTAAAATTATTTATAAACAAAATATGCTTCTTCATTCCATATTATAAATATGAAATATTTTGATCAAACTAACATAATATTCTAGACTAGTTGCTGACGACCCGCAGACCGCGGGTCACATGCAGCCCATGTACGTTTTTCCACGCCCTTCCAAATATTCTCATGATATTTAAAATTATAATTTTTCGTCCCAAATCGCAATAAATATAGAGCATTTGGTTTCATTCGAAATTAGTTGGGAAAAACAACCAAGCAGTGGAACTGATTGTATATACCTGCAGTTATATAAGTATCAATTGGTAAATGATATTAAAAATAAGGTTTATTTTAATTACATTTTTTATGAGACCCTCAACGAAAAAACAGAAAAAAAAAATAGGTTTCTATCGGTAAAAAGGTTATTTATTCCTGTTCTAGACAGAAATAGTATGTAGATTATAAATTTCCGTCTAAATAACCATATAATATAGTATATAATAGCGTCGCGATAATTTTGTCTCGACGCAGCTAATGTGCGGTCTTTTCGTACAAATTAAAATGTAATAGCTACCTGGACAAAAAATTGACAGATAAGATCGAAAATGAACGTGAACAAAAGCGATGATATAAAAAAATAAAGCGTTTGGGACGAACGAGTTTGGATAAAAAACGAATGAAAAATATAATGAATAAGGTATTCACAGGATTTCAGTGCTTGAGTGTTACGGAAGTGCCGGAGGACATCGAATATTGAGATAATATTCAATTAATATTCTAATAATATTCTAAATTTATCATATCCTACATTATTCGTATTGTAGCAATCTGTTTCCGTCACGGTTGAGAGCAACAGGTATATCTATCTCGAAACCATTCACAGAATATCACGATAAAAACCATAAAATAAATCGTGTTATGGTCAATAGCGTCATTTGGACAGCGATAGGTATACGTTTGCGAATTTAAAATCCAATATTGTAGTAATTTGGCCCATTTTACAGCGCCGCATTTAGAGAGGGGGGGCACTGGCTATAACTGCTCCGGATGCCAATTTTTTGAAAGCACCAAAATTCTGTGGTCGGAAATTTGCTCACTTGTAAATTATTGAACTTTTAAAATTATTTTGAAATTATTATTTTTTTTTGTTTTTAATAACAGTATCATAAATTAATGTTAATGTATATAATTTATTAATATATATTATTAATGTATTTATGGTAATACAGCTATCAGCGATCCAGAACATTATTAAGATACCTAATATTAGTTCCCTAATTTGTTGTGATAATGTCAATAAACATAAATTATTTATAATGATACGACTTATTATGTTATCGCCTGCGGTAACAAATAGACCTATTAGAAAATAGACCTGTTGGCTGTTGAGTTTTAAATTAATTTAATTTAAAATCGTTTTAATCATTAAAATGATTTTGATTTTGATATGAAATATTAATTTTAACTTTTTTCAATTTCAATATTAATTTTGAAAATCATTACCAACCATTAACAATTTTAATATTAATTTTGATTTTTTAAAAGATTTTTAACGATTTTTATCGATATTTGAAATCAATTTTAAGGCCTGGTAAAAAGCTTTTTGCGCTTGACGATGGATGATGTCAGATTAAATGATATAATGATTATCAACGTAGAATCATATACTGCACACAATTTAGATATAGATGAAACTGTAAATAAGTTTAAAAGCATAAAGATGCGTCGGTATCCTCTTAAATATTGACCAAAAATATGTATAACTATATATGTATATATATATATATATAATATCTATAACTATACCTAATAAACGCTATTGTCCAATATTTATTATCACCTCTCGCTTTATTACTTTTCTTAGTTATATGATTTCGTAAATACCACTATTATTATATTCCATTAATATATGGTAAAGATATCAAAATTTCTTAGTAAAATTACTGGATCACTAAAAACTGTCCTAACGCTCAACATCTCTAAAGAAGAAGAAGAAATATAACAACACCTACTATAAGATGGATTAGTAAAACTATTATTTGAAAATATGTAGATTATTTTATTTTTTTGTTGAAAATTCTGGATAGGCTTAGTGGCCTGCTCTATACGAAGAAAAAAATGAAATGACGCCACTGGTTATGGTTAAAGTTATGTGGCTCGTGTGGTCGACGATAATAAATCATATTTCTATTTTTTTATAATAAACCATTTCCTAAATTAAAAGAGTACGATAAAATTGATTATTTTTACTTCATCTTCCGTCGATTATTTATATGTTAAATTCTATAACTGCATTACAGTTATCAAGTGTTGACATTCTCCGATGACTATATCGACGTATATTGAGATGCACCCACAGTTTTGATGAATTTTGACATTTTTTATGAGTTTACATCTGCAATGCGTATACTTAAAGTACGTGTTGACGTACACAATAAGTATTCAGTGAATTTCGATATGATATATAAGTATATAATATGATGATTCTAAATTAATTAAAATTGTCCATCTTTGCTAGTTTTCAGGTCTACCAAATGTGTAAAGAATCAGCTCACGTCTTAAAATTTCATTTTATTACCTTTTTCGAACTTTTTGATTATCCTGACATTAAATACATAAACTCAGAAAAAATATAACGTTCTAAATAGGTTATTTTTATTTGTTCTTATTGATTAACACATTCATCATTCTAATTCACCATCCATGACCTGTTTTGCAATGTCCATCGGTATATACTTATATTAATTGTTAGCGATGATAGTATTAAATTTTACTATAACTTTTTTTAATGAATAAACTTTTCCAATTCGTTTTCGCAAGAGCAATGGTATAATCATTTCAAGTTTAAAAGACAATAATACAGTTCATCCGTCCGTAAAGTATTATTCAACCTAGGATTATTGCCCCTTTTTATTGGTTAAAGAAGAATATTTAAAATATGAATGCTATATAAATAATAAGTAAATATGATAAAAGTAAATAGATAAATAATAATATATATAATTATAATAATAAAAATTTATTATTACTTCTGAGGAGAGGGGGAATGGTAAACTCCTACAAAAAATTAGTACCGCTCGTATTGTTGTAAGAAATATCAGTCTTGCAATATATTAATACATAAAATAAAAATTGTTTGAAAAATATAATAAAAATGTTAATAAAACATTAATGAAAATTACGTTCGTTTAAAACAAAATTTTCTGAAAAAAATAATAAAAATTCAATAAAACAATACTAAGTCTTAATCATTTACGTATATTTTTATGGCATACTTTGGAGATAAACTCTGAACGTGAAATTTCTCCTCGCATATATTTATCTTTTTAATTAAGTATAAATTGATATTTAGAAATAGTTTTTGTCTGTCTACGTTGTGTTGTATGACTGCTCCTAATTTTAATGTATGTTTCGGTTTGTATATCTTTCAAAACTTTCACGAATAAATGGAGATTTGGATGATGATGATAAAAACTACTATTAAATCTTAAACGAAATGATTCACATGCATTAGTAGTATCATTAGAATACCACAATTTTGGAGGAAATAATGAAAACGAAAAAATATAATTTTCAGATAAATAGTCACAATATTATTGGACTTTATCGTCAAATGGACTATTTTCTAACAAATCAAATACAAAGCAATATTCAATATCGTTAGCATCCTGCAATAATGGTAAACCGAATGTGAGAACTAAAAATTTTCCAATTTCAAATTCATCATTATTTTAATCATTCGTTAGGCCTAATTGCTGGATTTTTCTGTACCAATTTTGGTACAAATTAAAATTACAACCATGAATTTGCACTGTTGGCCAAATATTTTTAATTGCATTATGAATAGCAATTTCAAAATCTACCACAACTGTACCTAGTTGAAACCGTAAATTATTTTGCAAGCAAATTTCGATAGTTTTTAAAAATAATGTACTGTATGTATGACTATTTTTGTCAAGAAGCAAAGTAAAGACTAATGGTATACAATTTTGATTCTTAAAACCATGAATAGTGAATAACTGCAAAAAATATTTTGTACAATAATTGAAAGTAGGTACCGTCAAAAAATATTTTTTCGGTTAGAACAAAGTAATTTTAAATTTTCTATACAAGAAAATATAATAATATCGCTATCTTGAGCATTTTATAAAACAAATTGTTCAGAACGGTTTGTTTTTTATATCCATTAAATGTAAAGTATCGTGAAATTCTTCAATACTTTTAAGCAAAGGTGGCAAAATAGATTTACGTGCATTATACGCATTTCGTCTAATATAATTGAGATCAGTTGTATTTAAATTATTTTCGTTATTAAAATTTTTGATTTCAGTTAAAATAAACTTGGAAGGTTTTTCTACAATATTGTCTTCACTTACTTTCCTTTTCAGTGAATTATTGACTTCTTGGCGATTTAATATAGTATCTTCATCATGAGTGTGAATTGGAACTACATTTTTTTCAAAAATTTCATCCTCTGTATTATTTGTGCAAATTTTACTATGACACTTATTATTAATACAACGCCAAGTTTTTTGGCCACTTTTTGCAGTATAGTGTAAAAAAAAATTATATTTATCAACTATTAATAACTTTTTACCATTCTGACTGTACATGAATTCCATTGCAGTTTTTTATAATGTACGACTATTAGAGTGACTAACTTTACTGCACAAAACGGTGAAAGACGCAAAAGATTCACTAGACTAAACTCAAACAATACGCAGTTACATAGTCATACAGTTACGAGCGGATTACGATATCGAACTGCGATAATAAACGCCAATTTGTTTTGATACAGACGAGATTATCATGTTTTATCGTTATTCAACAATATTCGATACCATATCGCTGATCTATTTAAAATATTTTGTACTGCAAGTGCCGTTATGAACGTATAGTATAGTATAGTATATAATATAGATATAACTTAACCTTCGAAAATCATCATACAGCGTATAAACACACTCTATTCAAGCGTTTGTTAA